GTTACTGGACACCTGTCCTTGGCAGGGGGGTGGTTTTCTCTCCCGCCCCCTCCCCAATGGCTTTCCTAGGAGATGACCTTTGCATGATGCTCAAATGAGGCAAAGCTCAGAGGGGCTTCTGAGAAAAGGCCCACAACTCACCTTGCAAAATCCATGTTTATTAACGGGGGTGACTTTCCTCGAAATGTCATGAACTAGAAGATCCCTGCCCAGGATTGCATAAGCCCCTGTGGGTGTGCTACTGAGATGTCAGCAACAGATGAGATTGTAGACCTGGGGTGAACATTGTCACCATCACGACACAGAGAGTAAAACATTGGTTCAAAATCCCTGGAATTTTGATGTTCTGAATGTTCTAGGGGGTTGAGCAGGGCTGGGAATGGTTTGTTTTGTTTCCAAAAGCGATAGTGTTTCTATAACTTATCATGATGGCTTTTTTTAATTAAAAAAAATATTTTTTATTCAGATTTACATTTAACAATTAGAATCAGATACAGATTATAATCATATACACCTAGGATTCTCTGAATCCCTTGACTTCCCTCCACCCCCCTCCATAGTTTCCATAGTTATTCTTTTCCAACTGCATCATATACTGTTCTCCATATTCCCTTTCAACTCAATTCTTATCATAGTTCTTGTTACATTGCAAGTGTTTTCAAAATCCTGACAATATTTTTAATTGTTTACAGTGTTCTTTTAAGTAACTTATAATTTCCCCTCATTCTTTATTAAATTCATGATCTTCTTGGTTTCTGATCTTCCTGGTCATTTTCACCATTTCAGCATAGTCCATCATCTTTATTAGTCATTCTTCTCTGGTAGGTACATTATCTTCCTTCCATCTTTGGGCAAGCAACATCCATGCAACTGTTGCAGTGTACATAAACAGTCTTTCCCTTTGTGGAGTGGATTTGTCACAATTCACGCATTTTCCTGAGATCAGTAACAGAAGTCACTCAAACAGAAATATGAGCAGCATTCACTTTTTTTTTAAAGTCCAAGAACGTCACATAACTGTGTTATTTTCTGCACTGTTGCTAATGTTTCCCTTCCCTTGAAATGCACTGACATTAATTATGTAACTAACAATTACATAATTGTGTTCATATTGAAGGTGTCATTGTTTTGTTTTTGTTTTATTATGTATTTTGTGTTCTCATTGTGTTGTATTTTTAGTAGTGAACCAACCCGTGATCTTCAGATGAAGGGCAGTATACAAATTTTAATAATGGTGATGATGATTTAGGTTTTAGCAGAAGCCGAAATGTAGCACAATGGAAACAGTGCTGACAGAGAGGAATACAGGACAGGATTGAAATCATGGCCCCCTTACATCCCAAGAAACTACACACGGGATTGCAATCATGCTGTTCCTAATGAATTGGCTGTTATGCTATGTTGTGTGTTTGTGTGTGTATTCAACACAACTGCCTACATGTTGAATTTCTCTTCAAAGGTATGGCCATGAGCTCCTGCACTTCACAGTTATCACGAAAAAGGTAAAGGGACCCCTGACCATTAGGTCCAGTCATGGCCGACTCTGGGGTTGTGGCGCTCGTCTCGCTTTATTGGCCGAGGGAGCCGGCGTACAGCTTCCGAGTCATGTGGCCCAGCATGACTAAGCCACTTCTGGCAAACCAGAGCAGCACACGGAAACGCCGTTTACCTTCCCGCTGGAGTGGTACCTATTTATCTACTTGCACTTTGACGTGCTTTCGAACTGCTAGGTTGGCAGGAGCAGGGACCAAACAACAGGAGCTCACCCCATCGCGGGGATACGAACCGCCGACCTTCTGATCGGCAAGTCATAGGCTCTGTGGTTTAACCCACAGCGCCACCCACGTCCCAGTTTACCACTACAAAAAAGAACTCACCTCATTGGTGTCCACAGGAGCATCAACAATCTCAGTCCCATTCCATCCAGTTCCTAGATGTGTTCCCCTGGGAGCTGTCACCTCTGAGACCCAGCAGTCTATTTGGGTAGGAACAGTATTACAGATGACTTTATCACCACAGGTGTACTCCATTGTTTCTTGAGACAGATGGATGCCAACAACACCACCAACAACAACAACAACTGACCTTCATGTTTAAAAAGAAGCTCCATCTTTGAAAGTCTCCATGCAGACTGTCTCGCCAGTGTGGTGCATGCTCTAGTTATCTCCCGGTTGGACTACTGCAATGCGCTCTACGTGGGGCTACCTTTGAAGGTGACCCGGAAACTGCAACTAATCCAGAATGCAGCAACTAGACTGGTGACTGAGAGTGGCTGCTGAGACCATATAACACCGGTCCTGAAAGACCTACTGGTACATTGGCTCCCAGTACGTTTCCGAGCACAATTCAAAGTGTTGGTGCTGACCTTTAAAGCCCTAAACAGCCTCGGTCCAGTATACCTGAAGGAGCGTCTCCACCCCCATCGTTCAGCCCAGACACTGAGATCCAGCGCCGAGGGCCTTCTGGCGGTTCCCTCCCTGCGAGAAGTGAGGTTACAGGGAGCCAGGCAGAGGGCCTTCTTGGTGGTGGCGCCTGCCCTGTGGAATGCCCTCCCATCAGATGTCAAGGATATAAACAACTATCTGACATTCAGAAGACATCTGATGGCAGCCCTGTTTAGTGAAGTTTTTAAGGATTGATGTTCTATCATGTTTTTATATTCTTTTGGGAGCCACCCTGAGTGGCTTGGGAAACCCAGCCAGATGGGTGGGGTAATAATAATAATAATAATAATGCCCCTATAGTCCCCACCTAGCAAGAGAAATTTGGTACAACAATCATGTATGCCAACAACAGAATCTAGTTCCAATTGTCAACAACCAGGTAGAAAGGTAAAAGGTAAAGGGACCCCTGACCATTAGGTCCAGTCGTGGCCGACTCTGGGGTTGTGGCGCTCATCTCACTTTATTGGCCGAGAGAGCTGACGTACAGCTTCCGGGTCATGTGGCCAGCATGACTAAGCCGCTTCTGGCGAACCAGAGCAGCGCACGGAAACGCTGTTTACCTTCCCGCCAGAGCGGTACCTATTTATCTACTTGCACTTTGACGTGCTTTCGAACTGCTAGGTTGGCAGGAGCAGGGACCGAGCAACAGGAGCTCACCCCGTCGCGGGGATTAGAACCACCAACCTTCTGATCAGTAAGTGCTAGGCTCTGTGGTTTAACCCCCAGCGCCACCCGCATCCCCAACAACCAGGTACAAACAGTCAAATCCAACATTCACCTTGGCCGGAGGTCTCTAGCAAGGAAGATGGTGGAATTTTCGCTGGGAATTTCTGATGGTGTTTCCTGCTTCTGATGGTGTTTCCTGCTTCTGATGGTGTTTCCTGCTTGGCAGGGGGTTGGACTCGATGGCCCTTGTGGTCTCTTCCAACTCTATGATTCTATGATTCTAATTGTGACACCCCACCACCTGATTGCAAGCCTATTTTGGCGGTGTACCAACAGCCTATGTGGACACAGCTGAGATCAGGTTGTCCTAACTCATCTGCCCAGGTGTTGTTGATGCAGGTCAACACCCTTGTTGTTGCCAACTGACATGGATAGCCTCTACATATATGCATCTGCATGTGCTGGTTAGCAAACGCAAGCATGGATTTACGCATCCGATCAATAAACATTATATGCTTGGCATATAAGTATGGCTCAGGTGGGGCATTAAGTAGTACTGATGAGAGGAAAACTGCCTTCAAACATCTCAGTGATTTGCCAGCGGGACATGGATTCAGGTATGCTTTTAATAATAATAATAATAATAATAATAATAATAATAATATCTTTATTTTGCATGTTAAGAAGAGGGAGGTTGCCATATTTCTGAACGAAAGAGATTCTGCGTCCTTTATAACAGGAAGTTCTGCAGAAATCCAATGGGTGCAGATTTCCTCATGGGGAAAATGTTCACCTGTTACGTTTTGGCTGGTTGGGCAGCTGCTAAAGTTATGGAAATCTCTGCGCATCAGAAAGGTGGCAATCCAAGTTAAGATGATATCTGGGAATTAGCTGCTGCTTTGATGGATGTCGTTCTCCGTGCTAATATTAAGCAAATTCGTAACTTTGGGTTTTGTGATACCAGGAGCAAAATGAGATCCAGCAATCTTGGAGGGCAGGGCAGGGGAGTCTGTCATGCAAATAGGTACAACTGTCAGGTAAGTTCAGGTAATAGTAAGAATTCAACATGCTCAACAAGCTAAGTGATGAAACATGGACTGTACGTGGGTGACATGCTTTGGAAGTCTAAACCTTCTCCCACTCCAGCTGTCAGCCCAGTGGCTCCTGTGCCCAATTTGACAAGCTTGGGGTGGAGGGGAAGAAAACTGCTGCCATTCAAACTGCTGCCAAGCCTGCAAACCATCTTAACCCTGAGATTAAGAGCCTCCTGCTCCACCAGTTGAGCTACGCTTACTCCCAGGTAGGGAATTTGGAGACTTCTGTCAGAAATAAAAACAAGGACAGGGATTGCCACAATTCATGCATTTTCCTGAGATCAGTAACAGAAGTCACGAAATACGAGCAGTACTTTAAAAAAATATTTTTTTACGGTAAGAACATCACATAACTGTGTTATTTTCTGCACTGTTGCTGGTGTTTTTCTTCCATTGAAATGCACTGACATTAATTATGTAATTAACTATATAATTAATTGTGTTCATATTGAAGGAGTCATTGTTTTGTTTTTGTTTTATTATGTATTTTGTGTTTTCACTGTGTTGTATTTTTACGTGGTGAACCAACCTGTGATCTTCAGATGAAGGGCAAATTTTACAAATTTTAATGATGATGATGATTTAGGTTAGCAGAAATCAAACTGTAGCACAATTGAAACAGTGCTGACAAAGAGGAATATAGGACAGGATTGAATTCATGACCTCCTTACATCCCGAGAAACTACACACAGGATTGCAATCATGCTGTTCCTAATGAATTGGCTGTAATGCTATGTTGTGTGTTTGTGTGTGTATTCAACACAACTGCCTACATGTTGCATTTCTCTTCAAAGGCATGGCCATGAGCTCCTGCACTTCACAGTTTACCACTTTGTTGTTGTTGTTGCTTAGTCGTTTAGTCGCGTCCGACTCTTCGTGACCCCCTGGACCAGAGCATGCCAGGCACTCCTGTCTTCCACTGCCTCCCGCAGTTTGGTCAAACTCATGCTGGTAGCTTCGAGAACACTGTCCAACCATCTCATCCTCTGTCGTCCCCTTCTCCTTGTGCCCTCCATCTTTCCCAACATCAGGGTCTTTTCCAGGGAATCTTCTCTTCTCATGAGGTGGCCAAAGTATTGTAGCTTCAGCTTCAGGATCTGTCCTTCCAGGGAGCACTCAGGGCTGATTTCCTTCAGAATGGATAGGTTTGATCTTCTTGCAGTCCATGGTACACCACTGCAAAAAAGAACTCACCTCATTTTGAAAAGTGATAGTAAGGGCACCTCAAGAGTCAGGCAATGATTCTGAAGGGAAGACTGGGGCGTGATTGGGGAACATCCACCCCCTGCTGTCTGCAAGCACCAATGACTGCTTCCATTTTGCTCTCGTTTTCCCCATTCATTTCTGTCCACACCAAACGTCAGACAAGGTGCAGGCTGCTTGTTTCAAATGCCAGCTCCACAGCAGAGAGGCAGACTACTTGCACTGTGTACATTGCAGCTGCTTACTTGAGTCCCCAACATTTCCGGCTAAAAGATCTCTTGCAGAAGGTCTCAGAAAGGTGACTAACAGTTCAGTGCAGGTGGGCTGTTAAGACCATAGGTCTGACCAGGTATAAGGTATTTGTCTTTCCCAGCAAATCTTGCTTCTAGTTTAGAGCCCAAATACTGGGGTGAGGGGGCCAGAAGGTGGCTGTCTAGATTTGACTTTCTAATCTGTTTGAAGAAATAATAGAAAAGGTGAGTTGGAATACAACCTCCAACCCGCCTGCCCATGCCAGCAGCAAGAACCAGCAAGAATTATTTTGCCAAACCTGCCCCCATCCCAAAGGAGGATAACTATCTCACCTGGGCATATGTTGAACACAGTCAAAGGCTGCTTTAAATGCCATGGCTTCCTCTGGAAGAACGCTGGGAGGGCTCACACTTTACTAAATGTTTATTTCTCCAGAAAAGATGGTTGTGCGGTTCAGAGGCAACTCTCAGTGGTATAACCAGTTAACAGAAAACAGTCCAGGTTTAGCAAAGTTTAGTTTAATTCGCTCAAAAAGAAGCTACGACCTTGTAAGGTCATTGTAAAGGTAAAGGGACCCCTGCCCATTAGGTCCAGTTGTGGCCGACTCTGGGGTTGCGGCGCTCATCTCGCTTTATTGGCCAAGGGAGCCGGCGTACAGCTTCCGGGTCATGTGGCCAGCATGACTAAGCAGCTTCTGGTGAAACAGAGTAGCGCACGGAAACACCATTTACCTTCCCGCTGGAGCGGTACCTATTTATCTACTTGCACTTTGACGTGCTTTCAAACTGCTAGGTTGGCAGGAGCAGGGACCGAGCAACGGGAGCTCACCCCGTCGCAGGGATTCGAACCACCAACCTTCTGATCGGCAAGCCCTAGGCTCTGTGGTTTAACCCACAGTGCCACCCACATCCCTAAGGTTATTGTAGAAGAAGTGAAATCTGAGCTCTATAGCAGCTCGAATTTTGTAACCTTTAACATTGCTCACTTGAAAAGGCGATGTGACTCTCCGGACATCATTGAACTCCAGCAGCCATAATCCTTGACTGCCGGCAACATGGGCTGGGGCTGGTGAGAGTTGGAGTCATGCGGCAGCTAGACTGGTGACTGGGGGCGGCCGCCGAGACCACATAACACCGGTCTTGAAAGACCTACATTGGCTCCCAGTACGTTTCCGAGCACAATTCAAAGTGCTGGTGTTGACCTTTAAAGCCCTAAATGGCCTCGGCCCAGTATACCTGAAGGAGCGTCTCCACCCCCATCGTTCTGCCCGGACGCTGAGGTCCAGCGCCGAGGGCCTTCTGGCGGTTCCCTCATTGCGAGAAGCAAAGCTACAGGGAACCAGGCAGAGGGCCTTTTCGGTAGTGGCGCCTGCCCTGTGGAATGCCCTCCCATCAGATGTCAAAACGATAAACAACTACCTGACATTCAGAAGACATCTTAAGGCAGCCCTGTTCAGGGAAGTTTTTAATGTATGATATTTTAGTGGGGTTTTTGGTTTCTATGGAAGCCGCCCAGAGTGGCTGGGGAAACCCAGCCAGATGGGCGGGGTACAAATAATAAATTATTATTATTATTATTATTATTATTATTATTATTATTATTATTATTATTATTATTATCACACCTTGAGAGCCACAGATTCCCCATCGCTGTTTTTATAGGTTGATTATAAGGCTTTCCAGAGATGAACAGAGATCTACTTAGACTGGAGCTCGGCTTTAGCAGAATATATCAAATTGCAAGATTTGCACAAAGCATGGATTTAAAAAAGCTGCTTAGGTGTCGCATTGCTTCTTTCAATTATGTTGCACGCATTGTAAAGGACTCTCCTTTGATCTGAGAATCTCAGCCTCCATCTTCTTTTGCAGCTTCCAGACCTTCTTCTCTGTTTGTCATTGCACTGACTATCTTGGCCCTGCAATGGCCGAAGGGAACAACGGCCTTTCCCACAATGCCCCTCTCCAGCCTGTTTGCCAACGCAGTTATAAGGGCACAGCATCTTCACCTGCTTGCAGCTGACACCTTCAAGGAGTTTGTGAGTAATAGGACTCAGCTATACAGCTGCAAATAAAACGTTTTGAACGTGTTGTAAAGTGCAATATAAAAATGTGACAGTAGATGGCGACAGCGAGCTATGCCAAATTCTGTGTCTTTTTCAAAACGTTTTTTAAAAAAGCATTTTCACAGCTTTTTTTGTATGTGTGCAGATTCCACCATAGTGTACCATTCAGAAATGCATCCATTTGGTTTCTATATCATCATTCCTTCTGAACAAGGGCGGCTGAGTGCCGCTCAGGCATAATTATAACTTGGCTTGGCAGCCCCTAATCCAGCCTCTACTTCACCTTTGCTCCTGGCTATACGGTGGATGGAGGAAGCAACCCTCGAAGCATTTTGTGGCTTTTGTTTGCTTGTTTTTGTACAGGAACGTTCCTACATCTCAGAAGCCCAGCGGTACTCCAACAAAAACTCTCCGACTTCATACTGTTATTCCGAAACCATCCCTGCGCCCACAGGGAAGGACGATGCCCAGCAAAGAACAGTAGGTTGCGCCCCTTGTTGCCTTATTTTATGGAATTAGCAAAACAACAACAAGCCTATGGTTACGTGAAACATACTCAATAAACACACAAGACGTAACCGGCTGCACTTTTGAATAAATAAAGGTATGCTATTCATTGTATCAAATTGTAGATTTCAACGAAAAAAGCAGAAGACCCAGTGGGTCAGTTCATTCTATAGTCCGTTCATGCCTAAGGTCCATACATGTATAAGTGTCTATTCCACCTGTCTGTTCATAGAGTCCAATAATCCACATGAAGGGTTGTTACAGTTCCACAAAATCCTTTCACAGTCTAAAATTAATATAAATCAATCCATCCTGGTTTGAAATGCAGAATACTTGGGAGCAGGAACAAAACCTAGACCTAGATTTAATACTCGCGATTCCTCTGGTTTTAAAGTCCTATCAGATAAGTTAACCACTAAAGTGGTATCTCGATGTTCAGGAATTTTCTCCGGTAAGGTACGCCGTTTGGAAAAAGACTGGTACATCTGACCAGATGTAAGCTTCACTTCTCTGTCTTCATCTGATCCGTCTTGTGTGTTTATTCATAATTTTATGGAATGGCTGCATCAAGGTGCAAAAACTGGAATTTGCGTGTTTTGTGTGTTCAGCTTCCCATTGTCCCACTTGGCAAACAGTGGGGGAGCTCCCAACTTCTGCAACAATACTTTACAATCCCATTTTCTCTCCAGCTGCCATCTGAGCATAACTTGTCCCAAACAACGTAACTATTCCATCACTGAGGAAGGAATGTTCCTAGCCATTCGTGCCCATTGAGAGAATGTCCTCTGTCTGCTTTATAAGCATCATCTGGCATTCACTACTCTTTAGCAAGTTATCAAGGGCGCTTCCTGGCAACCTCCTTCCAGAGCAATCTTATTTGTTTGCAGAGAACCTAGATGCCTACTGTTGAATGAGCATCCATTCCGATTTGTTTGAGGGTGGGTTAGAATGATGATGTTGCATCAAGGCAAGCCTTATTCCACCCTTTCCAGTGTTTCCCCCTTCACTTTCCTTCCTGCAGAAAAAAATCAGATTCAGAAGCAGTTTTGTTGTGCAGACCAACTACTAAATTGAATCCCATTCGAGCAAATGGCTCCAGGTTCACTTCAGTTAAATGTAAGGGTCTCCTGGAATAGGGCTGGGAACGTCCTCTGCCCAAGTCCTTAAAATGTAACTTTGGGTCATGGGGTTAAGCTAGACATGGCATTTGGGAGATCGTTGTCTTCTTCTTCTTCTTCTTCTTCTTCTTCTTCTTCGAGGAGTATTAGTAGCAGTGCAAGGAAAGAAATCCGATTGGAACTAAGATTTTGAGGGTGTTTGACATCTGGGAGTTTGATACCACAGGTTTCCCCACCCCTGCTGTACATCTTCTGGAGGTGGTGCCCTTATTTAGGTTGACGTTTGGTGCTCAAGGACGGGAAAAGTATAATAATTAGTATACCATTATCTAGGGACGCAGGTGGCGCTGTGGGTTAAACCACAGAGCTTAGGACTTGCCAATCAGAAGGTCAGCGGTTCGAATCCCCGCAACGGGATGAGTTCCCGTTGCTTGGTCCCTGCTCCTGCCAACCTAGCAGTTTGAAAGCACGTCAAAGTGCAAGTAGATAAATAGGTACCTCTCCAGCGGGAAGGTAAATGGCATTTCCGTGCGCTGCTCTGGTTCGCCAGAAGCGGCTTAGTCATGCCGGCCACATGACCCAGAAGCTGTACGCCTGCTCCCTCGGCCAATAATGCAAGATGAGCACTGCAACCCCAGAGTCGGTCATGACTGGACCTAATGGTCAGGGGTCCCTTTACCTTTACCTTGGTGCTGAAGGACAGAAAAGTATAATAATTAGTACACCGTTATCCACCTTGTTATTGGGTTGGATGGAGAGGGCTGTAAGTACAAAGAGGCACACATTGAACTCAGGGCACAGCATTCCCTCTCAAACCATTTCCTTGATCCGACCCAACATTTGTTGCTCTAATGGAAACACATGGACTCCAAACCGCATCAATTTCATCCATCAATGTGATCAGTGGTCAAGGATGGGAGCTCTCATCAAGAAGGCCATAGATTCCCCACCCCTGATGTACAGGTTCAGGTTTTGGCGAGTCCTCCAGGGAACGAATCCCAAGGTTGTGGGTCCACCACAACAACGTTTTGCTTTGCTTGTGCAAAGCTGGTTTGGCACAGAGATGATGTACTTAAGAGAGTGTCTTCAATCTTGAAGGCTATGGTGGAAAGGGAAATGAGTGGCTTCTTATGATTCTTTTTAACACTGGCCTCTTTGTTTATTTTCCCTTCAAGGACATGGAGCTGCTCAGGTTTTCGCTGACTCTCATTCAGTCCTGGCTAGGTCCTGTACGGTTCCTAAGCAGGGTGTTCACTAATAGTCTGGTCTTTGGGACTTCGGACAGAGTGTATGAAAAACTCCAAGACCTGGAAGAAGGCATCCAGACTCTTATGAGGGTAAGCCATCTGTTCTCAAGGGACAAGCAGTTCCCTTTGAATGGAGCTCCAGTCCTGATCACAATACTAACCACGATGACTGTGTGCTAACTCCCAATATTGGAGACAAGTTGCTGAAGAATGCAAGTTGTGCTCATGTGAGCTTCTCTTTTGGCCTCACCCAACAAGGCATTTGGGACCCGGGTGGCACTGTGGGTTAAACCTCAGAGCCTAGGAGGATAAACTGCTTGTCAGGTTCGCTTAGGAAGCCAGATGGCTGGCTTTGCAGAAGAGTAAACCACAGAGCCTAGGACTTGCAGATCAGAAGGTTGGCGGTTCAAATCCCCGCAACGGGGTGAGCTCCCATTGCTCAGTCCCTGCTCCTGCCAACCTAGCAGTTCAAAAGCATGTCAAAGTGCAAATAGATAAATAGGTACCGCTCCGGCGGGAAGGTAAACGGCGTTTCCGTGCGCTGCTCTGGTTCGCCAGAAGCGGCTTAGTCATGCTGGCCACATGACCCGGAAGCTGTACGCCGGCTCCCTCGGCCAGTAAAGCGAGATGAGCGCTGCAACCCCAGAGTCGGCCACCACTGGACATAACAGTCAGGGGTCCCTTTACCTTTACTAACAAGGCATTTAAAGCTCTCAACTTGCAATTAAGCCACATTTGGGGGGAAAGCCGGAAACGGTAACTGCTGCTGAGTCCCACATTGCTGCTGCTGCATCTCAACCCATCCATTGAAGAACTGTCTTTGCAAGGCCTCTCACTCGATTTTGCAGCCAGGCTGAGAAGTAACTTAGAGTAGGCTTCCTCAATCTTGGCCCTCCAGATGTCTTGAGACTACAATTCCCATCATCCCCGACCACTGGTCCTGCTAGCTAGGGATGATGGGAGTTGTAGGCTAAAAACATCTGGAGGGCCGAGGTTGAGGAAGCCTCACCTAGAGAGATAGGCTTCAAATGCTTGCCAATAGACACCTTCCACCTGCCTTCTCCCATTCCTGGGGCTTGCCCACCTACAACACAGGGGAGCGGTTGTCATAATTAGTCATGAAGCAAACAGTGGAAAATTTTCAAAATCTGCCATGTTTGGGATTTGGGGCCATGTTTCCTTTTAATAATAATAATAATAATAATTATTATTATTATTATTATTTATTTTTTACCCCGGCCATCTGGCTGGGTTTCCCCAGCCACTCTGGGCAGCTCCTAACAGAATATTAAAAGCACAATAAAACATCAAACATTAAAAACTTCCCTAAACAGGGCTGCCTTCTGATGTCTTCCAAAAGACAAATAGTTGTTTATCTCCTTGACATCTGACGAGAGGGCGCCACCACCAAGAAGGCCCTCTGCCTGGCTCCCTGTAACTTCACTTCTCACAGTGAGGGAACCGCCAGAAGGTCCTTGGAGCTGGACCTCAGTGTCCGGGCTGAACGATGGGAGTGGAGACACTGCTTCAGGTATTCTGGGCCGAGGCCGTTTAGGGCTTTAAAGGTCCGTCGTAGAACCTTTCCTATTTGCAAGAGTGCATTTTCCCACAGGAGCTGGAGGACGGGAGCTCACGGGGCGCCCAGCTGCTCAGACCCACCTACGACAAATTTGACGTCAACCTCCGGAGCGAAGACGCTCTGCTGAAAAACTACGGCCTTCTGTCCTGCTTCAAGAAGGACCTGCACAAGGTGGAGACCTACCTGAAAGTGATGAAGTGCCGGCGCTTCGGGGAACTTAACTGCACCATCTGAGGGCAGAAGAGATCTACCTCTCCCTTCGGTCCCATTTCCCAAGGCCTGAAGTTAGTGCGCTGCCGATACCTCTGCTGTGACCTCGTGTGTGCGTGTGAGGAAACCCTGAGTCAAGTCAAGAGCAAAATGTTGTGCATTCTGTAGCTCTGATCTTGCAAGGACCCTCTACGCTTCTTTGTAATTGCAAAAATAAATGCAGTTTTGCCTCTAGCTCCGTTCAGACGTTGTTATTTGTATTGGATCAACTCAGATAGGCCTTTGTGAGCGAGGGGGCCTCTTTACCCTTGCCCCCATCAGGTTTATTTCCAACTGTGAAGGCCTGAAAGTGGGGGAGACCCTTCTAAGCATGCTCCATTGAACCTCCCTACAGTCAGGAACCTTGTGTTAAGTGGGTCCTCGATTGTGCGTGTTCTAAGGACGTGTCCTTAGAAGCCCCCTTTCACCTTTCTTTTTTAAATTTTTTAAATAAATTTTATTAGGATTTTCCACACAACAACACGAAAAATATCGAAAAATAACAATACACAACACACAAAAACCAACATTCAAAAAACAAAAAAACAAAAAACAAATCCGTATCTTACAAGTTAATAATATAAACACTAAAAAAAACAAAACATTGACTTTCACCAATCCCACAGCACCTCCTTTATCTCATTGTGTCTTCCTGTTTTCCTTATCATCTCTATCCTAACATCTAGATATAAATCCCTCTTTCTTATCCTTTCACTTCACAAGGTTATTCCAGACTCAGACAGATTTCTGTCCTCGAACCTTGACTTTTAAGGTATTCATTTCGGCACTCCCATTCTTTTTTTACTTCACTTTTTGGTTTTTGCCTTATTACGTCTGTCAATTTGGCTATTTCTAAGTATTCTGAAAGCTTACATAACCACTCTCCCCTAGTGGGTAACTGATTCCCTTTCCAATACTTAGCCGCCAGGATTCTTGCTGCAGACGTTGCGTATAAGAAAAATTTAGTTTTGTCTTTTGGAATATCATCATTTAAAATTCCTTTCATGAAAGTTGCATGAAGGTCTGAAGCAAGGGTGACTCTCAGCTTATGCTGGGTTGACGTTCTAGAGAAAGTACCTAAAACCAAAATTATGTATAGTCAAAGCACACTGAGTTCAGTGGCAAGTGAGACTGCCAAAGGTTTATTTCCAGGACGTCCAACCCATTTTTATTTTTTTGCCAAGCAAATAAAACTGAATGTACACAAGTTTAATGCACATAAATTGCAAATCACCCATACAGTGTTTGTGCCTATGGAGCTTACTTAATTTTAAAAATTATAATAAATGAAATCCCTGTGCTTCATTTCTGGATAAAGTTCTTGCCACCTTCTGATTTGGAAGCCCTTTCCTTCCCCCTTTATCCCTGATCAGATGCAACAAAACATGTCTTTCCTGCACTGGTCTCTCCTGTAAACCTCCAACAGTTTGATCAAAGGAGTACTCCTCTGTTGTCTCCCGAGACAGATGGATGCCAATCTAGCCCTGATTGGTTATGATTCTAGGCTCATCCAAACTTCCATTTGCCCTGCAACTTTCCCCTGGGGAAAACCTGATCTTTAGCGCTAAATCGGACCAAACATCAGCTGGGTTTCCTTCGGATTGACATTTCTTCCGATTTTAATTTCGTGGCTGCTATCACAGCCTTAATTTACTGGAGGCTTTTTTGTGCTCCAGAGATGAGGTTTGGTGTTGAACTTCGACGCAGGGGGCGAGGGCAGAGGGAGTCCCGGGAAGTCACCGGAGCCCTCCGTCTGCAAACACGTGGACTAGAGGGCCGCCCCCAGGAGGGAGTGGGGCTTTTGTTTTTTTGGCTGCAAATCCGCTTCATGCTCTGCAGCTGATCCATGGCAGAAATAGTGGAGTTCCGCGTCCCGGATGGAAACGGACGGACCCTGCTCATTTTGGGATTGGAGACAGACGCGTCAGAGGCAAGATCGCAGAATTGTAGAGGGGAACCCGAGGGTCATCTAGTCCAACCCCCTGCAAGGCAGCAATAGTTTTCTATTTCCCTGGATTTGCCCTGTATTTGGGTGGGTTATTCAGGTATTCGGGTGGGGAACCTTCGGCGCCCGACATGCATGCATGCTTTCAGGGACGAGAGAGGGTTTCTTTGCAGACCTCTTCAGACGTTCGGGGCTGCTCGCGAACGCGTGTCGGGACGCACTGTGTCCGCTTGCCCGGGGCTAAGAACTGCACTCGCTTTGGCTCTGCTTTAAAAAAAATGAAATGAAAAAATAGCGTTTATGCTGCGGGGGACCTGGCACACAAATTTCTTTCAATCGTTTGGAAGCGGAACTGAATTTGAAAAGGCTCGCGCGAGGAGCTATCGCTCCTGTCCCGCCTCCGCTGGATCCGTGTACTGATGAACGTCGGGATGGGCAGCAGATGCGGGACTGGCTAACCTCAGCCTGGCTCGGAACTCTTCGAGCGGGGCTGGGGAGCCCGGGGGACCTTTCGCCGGTGGCGCAGTGTTGTTGGACTACAACTCCCATCATCCCTGACTACCGGCTGTGCTTGGCTGCGGCTGGCGGAAGTTGTAGTCCAATAAGATCAGGAGGCCCGCTGATTCCTTGTCCCTGATTGGAAGCAGCTTTTGAATCGGTCTTCGCGCTTTGGAGTAACGACCGGTTCCTGGCTTTGTAAAACGGATCAGAAACACCTTTGCTTATTCCAGCATTTTATAGATATTTATCCTAGGACGATATACGATGCAGTTTAGGAATCAAAACAATGATAAAATGCGCAATAAGCCAGTTAAAGGTTATGAACCATTAGCACAACACACAACTGAAATAAGCAATTAAAACAATAAAGGGAAAACAACCGCCCTCTTAATGCTGTTTCTCAGTACATAGCATTAAAAATGCCCCAAGGATTAAAAAATGGATTAGCCTGATACTTGATAAAAAGGGGGGTGCCTTAAGGAAGCATCTTCACAATAAAGTCTCAGCTGTCGGTGCTCTGAGAGGAGCTGCTGTGGGAAATCTTAGTGCCTGGGCAAGTTGATAGGGGAGAAAGTGGTCTTTAGGGTGCCCCATCCCAAGCTGTGAAAGACTATAAACATAGCTGTCAACTTTTCCCTTTTCTTGCGAGGAATCATATTCAGAATAAGAGAATTTCCCTTAAAAAGAAGGGAAAAGTTGACAGCTATGACTATAAAGGTCAAAAGCAGCATCTTGAATTGGACAAAATATCAAGAGGTTGAATGCTATCACCTGAGGACTGAACCGAGACAAAGGATTGTAGCATGTTATATGGGCACAGCCCCTGTTATTTTCAATGGAGCTTTCTCAGGAGATGTTCTGGTAGGTTGTGCCCCATGGATCTACCTTTTACTCTGCCATAGCACCCAGAATCTTACGCTGCAGAGGCCTCGTGCAGTTGGCTATGCTAGTAGATTTGCTTTTTCCAATGGATTTTTTTTTCTTTGCTTCCAGCATGCTCTATATTTAACCTTCTCTGCATTTGGGCCGCTCTATTCCGTGAGGGTTCACCAAAATGCTCCAGTCGCTGGGCCTGGCTATTATGCCCTTGTGAAGTTCTACTCTGCGAGAGATGCCAGCAAGGCTCAATGTGCTTGTAACCAGCGGCCCCTGTTTCAGAAATCCCCTTTGAAGGTATCTTACCAACATAGAATCTTAAGACTGTGTCTCTGTTACAGGTGTATTCCCTACAGAATAGTCTGTGTGCGCTTATGAGTAAATTCTAATGCAACGAGGTAGTTTTCCCCTGGGGTTAGAAGCAGCATGTAGAAGGTGCCATGACCGGAATTTCTGAAATTTTACCAATTTCTTATGTTACCAAAAACAGCCACAAAGCTTCTCCAACTGCCATATAAAAATTTTATTAAAACAACAACAACAAAGTGTTATTAGATTTTCCACAGTGATAACACAAACCACAAAGCAAAATGATACACAGAAACAGAAAAAGAAGAAAGAAAAAAGAAAAAAGGGGGGACAATAAACAGATAAACAATAACAGCAAACTTAATTCTTCACAAATCCAACCTTTGGTCTTGGTTGACTTCCTCAAATCCCTCCCTTCTGAGTTTCCTTGTAATTAAAAGTAACAGCTTTCCAATATCATTATCAAACTAAAACAATTTCCAATTATAGTCCATCTTATTCACTTTTCTTAGCATTCTAAATCCCATTTATTTAATTATAACTTAATTTAATCCTAGGCCTATTTGTTTCTTTCAAGTAATTTCTAATTTTTTATATTACTGTACAATATTTATTCAAATAGTCCTTGAATTTCCTCCAGTCTCAACTGCCACATAACACTTTGGCCCTGTGCCCCCATCCCAGTTCAAGTGGGGACTCACACAGCTGCTTTTTATTTTACAAAAAAAAACACCCAACATGTTGCACGTTTCAATCATAGAGCCTTCACATCATGTATAGTTTGACTGTAAATCAATAGCGCTCAGCACCCCCCCATTTCAGACATTATAGCAGGTACTGTGCATTTTGGGTTCTTGCAGTTTCTCATTTTTCCCCCATTCTTAAGTACAGTTCTCCACATTTTCTCATCAGTTTGCAAATTCAGTCTTTGTGAAAATTAGCATTGGTATTTTAGTGTGAACTCTCCTAATATACACATTTTCTTAAAAAAGTAAAGCAAAGGACCCCTGGATGGTTAAGTCCAGTCAAAGGCAACTATGGGTTTGCGACGCTCATCTTGCTTTCAGGCTGAGGGAGCCAGTATTTGTCCACAGACAGCTTTCTGGGACATGTCGCCAGCATGGCTAAACCACTTCTGGCGCAACAGAACACCGTGATGGAAATCAGAGTGCACGGAAACGCTGTTTACCTTCCCGCCACAGTGGTACCTATTTATCTACTTGCACTGGTGTGCTTTTGAACTGCTAGGTTGGCAGGAACTGGGACAGAGCAATGGGAGCTCACCCCGTCATGGGGATTCAAACCACCGACCTTCTGGTTGGCAAGCCCAAGAGGCTCAGTGGTTTAGACCACAGTGCCACCCACTGCTTGGTTCTCCTGCCAATCCCCTCCTCCCACTCTTCCCTCACTACTGCCCTCCTAGGGTAACCCCTTAGACCTTCCCGCTTCCATGTCATACTGCTAAAGATCCCAAGGCCAGGAAGCAGTTCCCTCCTCCTCCTGCGACTCTTCAAATTGATGGGTGGGGTGGCAACAGCTTCTTTTCTTAATGCAAATAAAATGGTAAGATTGTGAAACCATTGTAAGGCTTTGCTTTGTGTTAAAAAAACTCAAACCGAATGGGAGAATGTTCTGAAACGGCTCTTGATGCAAATAGCTGAAATGCCATTGCTTCTTGTCTTCTTCACCTGTGGAAGAAAAGATGATGCTGATTGTGGGTTGTTATCACCTGGGACTTCTTTTTCTTCCCCCAACCCTTCCATGCCCAGGTTTGCATCTGTACAAGACAGCGGCCCTTTTCACAGCAAGGCTTGGGTCTGAGCAGCTACAGATGCCGGGAATTAGCCAATCACTTCCTTGGTTTCAACAGCTGGTCCAGTCGTATCATCACGGTAAGGATGGTCTGCTGTTTGCACTTAGGTTTCTTGTATTCATTCCCACTTTCATATGAGATGCTAAGTCTGCTAAGTGTCACGGCTTCCCTCTAAGGCAGGCGTCCTCAAACTCGGCCCTCCAGATGTTTTGAGACTACAATTCCCATCATCCTTGACCACTGGTCCTGCTAGCTAGGGATCATGGGAGTTGTAGGGCCAAAACATCTGGAGGACTGAGTTTGAGAAAGCCTGCTTCAAGGCAGTGGTGGCCAAACTTGGCCCTCCAGCTGTTTTGGGACTACAACTTCCATCATCCCTAGCTAACAGGACCCAGTGGTCAGGGATGATGGGGATTGTAGTCCCAAAACAGCTGGAGGGCCAAGTTTGGCCACCACTGCTCTAAGGGTTGGGAGAAAAACTAGTAGACAGAGTCTGACAGCCGTCGGCCGCTTATATAAGCAGTTACATTGGGGTTTGCTACCTATTTGTCAGGCGGCAGACGATGCAAGCCCCACGGCAGGTTGCCAGAAACGGATAAGACAAGGAAGAGTTCTTACCAACTATTTTTTAATCAATATTCAGAGAGAGAGGCTTGGAAATGCAGTCTCTTGGAATAATGGTGTTGCCCCGAGTAAGTCTCCACCCCCTCTCTCTCTCATGTGTCATAGCTACGGGTGCTGAAAAGTGCCATCTGCCTTTGAGCTCTTTGCTCTTCTACTTTCAATGCTCGCCAGGTTCTGGGAGAGGGTGTGTGTGTCTGGAATGCTTTCTAAAGACACTGTGTCCGTCAGCTGTCACCGCTCTGGTGCTGCTGCTACTTCCTCCCCCTCCTCTCCCATTATTTCCCAGCTTTCCCCCTCATCTACCTCTGAGCTGTGATCTCCCTCAACCCCCTGTTGTAATTCCAAACTGTCTTCTTCTCTGAAAAATAAATCAGGCTGGGGTGGTGGTCTCCACCATTCCTCTTCTACCCAGTCCCTGACATCATGAGAGGCGGCGAACAAATTACAGTGGTACCTCGGGTTACATACGCTTCAGGTTACATACGCTTCAGGTTACAGACTCCGCTAACCCAAAAATAGTGCTTCAGGTTAAGAACTTTGCTTCTGGATGAGAACAGAAATTGTGCAGCGGCAGCAGGAGGCCCCATTAGCTAAAGTGGTGCTTCAGGTTAAGAACAGTTTCAGGTTAAGAACGGACCTCCAGAACGAATTAAGTACTTAACCCGAGGTACCACTGTATATCTTATTTTAAAAAAATGGCTGTCCATTGTAAGCTTTATAGGACGTGCTCGAAGTGGGATGGGGTGGGTTGGCACTATTATTATTATTATTATTATTATTATTATTATTATTATTACATGTATTCATCACTCAAAATGGCTTACTTTTTTTTTAAAAGCATACAGGTACAAAAGGTTAAAACAACAAAAATTTTTTACTAAAAATTCTCATTTTGCAATAGTATAAATAGGGACAAATCTTACCCAGCCCCAAAAAGATGAGGATCACAACAGGCTAGGGTATCATCATACCATATGATCGTAATTAAAAAGCAAAAGCCTGGCATTTTAAAGTTGAGAATGATGCTTCCGTTCCAATTTTCAAGCAGACCAGTCCTCCCTCTCTTTTTTTCAGGGAGACGTAAACAGTCTCGTCTCACCACCTCGAATTCTTCCACTTCAAGCATTGCTTTTAGGGGTCCACAAATCTCGGCTGCTCTTAGTAGCCAGCCATTTTTGATGTTGTCACCAGTTGCTAATTGCTCCCCTCTCCTGGGTCTTCTAGCATGTTGGGGGTGGAGTGCTGAGAGGTCAACCTCTCATTTTGCAGTGAGCTGGGAGAGATGTTCAGGTGCAGTGAAAATCTCTCTCGACTTGTGAAAGTCTCAAAAACTCAGTGTCAACTTGTGAGAACAACTCTCCCCTTCCTCTGGGCCCTAGAGGATGATGGGGGCCACCCTACCAATTACCTTCACTGCTTTTGACCACCACCCCAAACCTTGGTCAAGAAGAGAGGGAGATACTGTGAAAAATAGATACAGTCATACCTCATGTTACTTTTGCTTCATGTTACGTTCTTTCAGGTTACGTCCTGCGGCAACCCGGAATTACCAGAAAGGGTTACTTTTGGGTTTCGCCGCTCGCACATGTGCAGAAGCGTAAAATGATGTCATGTGCAGAAGCGCCGAATCGCAACTCGCATGTGCGCAGACGCACTACTGCAGGTTGCGCTCTTTTCATGTTGCGAACAGGCCTCTGGAATGGATCCTGTTCGCAGCCAGAGGTACCACTGTGAAAGCATTATGTAAAAAGAAGAAGATAAACTGGAACTCTGATTGTGCCAGAGGACTTGGAAGAGAAATAACTTATTTTGTGGTTGCCATAAAAATACTACTGGTTGCTGGTGGCGACCTGGCAACTGCATTTTTTGAGTCCTGGCATGCAGAAAGATTCCCTGGAATTATGAAGGGACAGGGGAGCAACTTTTGGGGTAGCTAAAAGCAGCTGGACCTTTGCTAACACAGTTTCTGTTGGGAGCAGCTCCAGAACATATCTGGTTTTGAAGACGAGGAGAATGACGTGGAAGAAGTGAGGACATTGCCCAGGAGCAGGAATGCCAAATATCTGTGTATCCAAGAATTAACCTTCCCCCGATATGGGATCCGCACCAGAGGGATTGGTCTGGCTGAGCTTAATGTAGATCCCAGCCAAGGTAATATGGGGCAGGGTGGGAAGACAGAATAAAACAAGAAGTATAAAAGTGTTGTTGTTATTAATTATGTGGTCAGTAAGAACATTGATAAGGGTAGCGCTGTGGGTTAAACCACAGAGCCTAGGACTTGCTGATTGGAAGGTCGGCGGTTCGAATCCCCACGACGGGGTGAGCTCCCGTTGCTCGGTCCCTGCTCCACCAACCTAGCAGTTCGAAAGCATGTCAAAGTGCAAGTAGATAAATAGGTACCACTCCAGCGGAAAGGTAAATGGGAAGCACAAAAGACAGCAGTGGAGACAAGATTTCACTGGACTGTTTTGTGTTGTTCAGATTTTTGGTTTGTAAAGTACGTAAGAAATCACAGGGCAAACCAAAAAATCACTGCAAAGGTACAGGATTTTGCAATTGTGGCAAAAATGACTTCTTTTTTAAGATCTCGAGAGAAAGAAGACAGAGACAAGATACCTTTTGGACACGATGGCAGAAATTCATTGCTTCTACTAAGACGTTGCTTAGAACCAACGGAGACCTAAGAGTTTACAATGTATTAATATTTTGGGAAGTCAAATTATGGAAGAAATTGTGGACATTCCTTATTATGACAAATATCTAGTCAAATCTGGAAATGTGTAGTCAGAGTTTTCTCCCTCCCCTCCTTTCTTTTTAGTAGGAACGTATAAAAAATATCCTTATATTTATATTATAACTATAATGACCACCTGGAGTTTCATTGTGCGTTTTGTTAATGATTAAAGATACTCCTTTGTAATATTAAAGGTAAAGGGACCCCTGACCATTAGGTCCAGTCGCAGCTGACTCTGGGGTTGCGGCACTCATCTCACTTTACTGGCTGAGGCAGCCGGCGTACAGCTTCTGGGTCATGTGGCCAGCATGACTAAGCCGCTTCTGGCAAACCAGAGCAGCGCAGGGAAACGCTGTTTACCTTCCCGCTGGAGCAGTACCTATTTATCTACTTGCACTTTATGCTTTCGAACTGCTAGGTTGGCAGGAGCAGGGACCGAGCAACAGGAGCTCACCCCGTCGCGGGGATTCAAACCGCCGACCTTCCGATCGGCAAGTCCTAGGCTCCGTGGTTTAGCCCACAGCGCCACCGGCCTCCCTTTTGTAATATTATGGATTTAATTATTTTCTTTGATATCACAGACATCTGGAATAATATTAAAGTGTATTAGTGTTTCAGGTCCAAAATTATAAGGACATTCAGACTGCTACGGCTTAAAGCATTGATTAGTTCAGAGGCTGACAGCAGCTGGCTGGCAGGCAGATGTATCGTGAAACAATCTGGTCTTCTGCTGGCTTCTGTCTTTCAGAGTTTCTCCTGGCCGCGAACAACATCCAGAAGCTTGCCGTGCATCGAGCCCTCTCAGATGCATTTCAGAAGATTCTCATTATAGTTCTAGGCAAGTCTCTTTATCTTTGTTTATTTTTTCATATGTACATTCTGTTTGCTCTTTCCTTGCGCACCCATTTGTCTCCCTGGAAATGGACTCCCTTGGGAGGTTGTGGGCTCCTTCCTTGGAGGTTTATAAGCAGGGGCACTGTCCACCCATTCTGGTGGAACGCTCTGTCACAAGAGACTAGGGCCCTGCGGGACTTGACATCTTTCCACAGGGCCTGCAAGACAGAGCTGTTCCACCAGACCGTTGGCCGAGGCGCAGTCTGACCCCCTCCTTTGGTAATCCTCACAGAACTCTAGCCCAATGGTTGCCATTAATTTGATTTTGAATTTATTTTAGAACGAATTAATTTTAGAACGTTGTGTTACTTTTATTGTTGTTAGCTGGCTTCGGCTGGGGAGGGCGGGATATAAATAAATTATTATTATTATTATTATTATTATTATTATTATTATTATTATGTTTGATCTACCTGAGATTCCTGCATTGCAGGGGGTTGGACTAAATGACCCTTAGAGCTCCTTCCAGCTCCACAATTCGATGACTTTATGAATGTAAAATAATACTTTTAATTCTGAAATCCTATATTAATCCTACAGGAGGAATTCAGCATAGCACTAAGGAGGCAAGTATTTCTGTTTGCCTGATGGAATGAGCTCCTCTCTCCAGTGTGTGGTTCTGGGGGGTTCCACCCCCCCCCCAGAGCCAATTTCAGGGAGTGGGCTGGAAGACGAGGAGGGTAAGCTCTGTTGGGCTAGCGGAAGTCCTCTCACAGGCTTCTGCTAGTGGGTCTGTCCAGTTCAGGCTTCCTCAACCACGGCCCTCCAGATGTTTTGAGACTACAATTCCCATCATCCCTGACCACTGGTCCTGCTAGCTAGGGATCATGGGAGTTGTAGGCCAAAAACATCTGGAGGGCTGAGGTTGAGGAAGCCTGGTCTAGTTGAATCTGGCCCTGTATCAAAAAAACCCTAAATAAATGTCAAGTACGTCAGGAAATAATACAGAAAGCTGCTTCCTTGTTTTATCTTGTTCACATTTGCTTGACTGTTTTCAGAGAATGGGAAGGTAGCTGTGGAGTACAGCTGTCCCCAGGAAGACCACGTTGACCTTTTAACAGAAGAGGAACTCAAAGGTCTCATCCAGGTAATCTGGAACACTATCTAATGTACAGCGTCAGATTGCTTTGATCTGTTAAACTCAGTTTTTGGGCACCTTAGCTTCATAGGAGAGAGTGAGCAGAGAAAATATGGCTTCTCTGTTGTTAGAAAGTTGAGAAAATCCGCTGAGGATGAACTGCTTGTCAGGTTCGCTTAGGAAGCCAGATGGCTGGCTTTGCAGAAGAGTAAACCACAGAGCCTAGGACTTGCTGATCAGAAGGTCGGCGGTTCGAATCCCCGTGACGGGGTGAGCTCCCGTTGCTCGGTCCCTGCTCCTGCCAACCTAGCAGTTCCAAAGCACGTCAAAGTGCAAGTAGATAAATAGGTATTGCTCCGGCGGGAAGGTAAGCGGCGTTTCCGTGCGCTGCTCTGGTTCGCCAGAAGCGGCTTAGTCATGCCGGCCACATGACCCGGCTCCCTCGGCCAATAAAGCAAGATGAGCGCTGCAACCCCAGAGTCATCCGCAACTGGACCTAATGGTCAGGGGTCCCTTTATCTTTTTATCCCCTATCATGCTCAGATTCACAGTGGTTTTCAACTGGGGAGAGCTCTTCTCGTTTAAACCATCAAAGCAATTTCTGTTTGTTTTTTTAGGGATTCTGCAGCCCTGGCAGATCCTGTCAGATCGAGCTCCTTTTTAGTTGCGTGTGGGGCAGGGTGAAAGCAGAATGAAAGCAAGGGAAAGGGGACTGGCGTATTTCAAAAACCAATTCCTGATTGCTCGGCCCACATGCAAGCCTGCCCCCCCCATCACCCACTGTGGGGAGGGAAGGATCATTGGGTGTACAGCACCAGGCACAGATATTGAACATACAGTTTCAGCAGCTTCAGGCTGCGTACCCAGCATACATTTAAAATACACGAGTTCCTCCCAATTTTATTTTTTTTAAAAAGGGAAGAGTAATTCATTAAGGGTCCTAGCAATTGTAGCTGTATGAGGGGCGTACAGTTCTTGAGAGGAAATAATGTGCTTTCAATGTATGCTGTGTACACAGCCCCAGTCTGTGAAATGTAAGTTTTAATGTATTTTTATTAAAGATTTTCTTGATTTACAAAAGTGTTTGCAATGTCTCTCTTTCTCGTATTTTTTTTCCATGTAACATTTTTACAAATCAGTTTCATTTGTCGAGACATTAGGAAGAAAAGGGGGAAAGAGGTGGGGGGGTGGGTAGGGGTGGGGTCGGGTGGCGATGTTTCTATTTTACTTACTATATGTAGGGTTTGGTGTCAGCATTGATTGTGCAGGTTCTCTGCTGTTCACTTGTGTTCCTTTGGTGGTGAGAGAGATTGGGGTTGGCCTGGGGTGTGGCTGTTCATTTGTGGTTGGCTGTGGTGGTCTTTGTTTTCATGTGTGTGTGAGTGGGGTGGGTGGGTGTTTTGGATCAGGTTAGCCATATTGATTTGTATGCTGTTGGTGGGTTTTTGTCGTCGTCTTGTTGGGCTGTGTCAGTTTCTGTTTATTGGTTACCATATTTTTTGCTCTATAAGACTCACTTTTTCCCTCCTAAAAAGTAAGGGGAAATGTGTGTGCGTCCTATGGAGCGAATGCAGGCTGCGCAGCTATCCCAGAGGCCAGAACAGCAAGAGGGATTGCTGCTTTCACTGTGCAGCGATCCCTCTTGCTGTTCTGGCTTCTGAGATTCAGAATATTTTTTTCTTGTTTTCCTCCTCCAAAAACATGGTGCGTATTGTGGTCTGGTGCGTCTTATAGAGCAAAAAATACGGTAATTTTTCTAGTAAGGCTGTTTCCCATGCTATTTGGTACCACTGGTCCACTGTGAAATGTAAGTGATCCAGATTGTGCAGAATAACAAACGCTTCCTTCTCTTCCCAGGTGACTGAATTATCACTCTCACAGTTAAGTCCTGTAGAGGAAGAGGAGATCTCTTGATTTTAGCATGCATTGAAAATAGCACCTGGTGCTCACAGTAATGCCTTTAAAGGAGGATATTTTACACCTGTTGAGTCCTTCTCTCTGCTTTGAAAGGGCAACTGCCGCATCTGCAGCTCGTGACATTATTGGAAGTCCCATTTTGTTGTTTGCCGTGGTTGCAGATGATGATTTCCATAAATTGACACCTGCCTATCAAACGATTGCCTGTAATTGCCTATTTATTTTTAGCGAAGTGGGGTGATTCCCTCCTCACCAATTTAGTCTCTTTTTTTCCTAATAAATTGGTTCCTGAAAAAAATTATCTGTTATGTTTCTTTCATTCAAAGGTGAGTATTTGTCCTCAGTACAGTGGTACCTCGGGTTACATTCGCTTCAGGTTACGTACGCTTCAGGTTACAGACTCCGCTAACCCAGAAATAGTGCTTCAGGTTAAGAACTTTGCTTCAGGGTGAGAACAGAAATCGTGCTCCGGCGGCGCGGCGGCAGCAGGAGGCCCCATTAGCTAAAGTGGTGCTTCAGGTTAAGAACAGTTTCAGGTTAAGTACAGACCTCTGGAACGAATTAAGTACTTAACCCAAGGTACCACTGTATAGCAAATACGAGCCTGGGATTAGGAATTGCCTGGTAACTGTTGCCAGTCAGAGTAAGAACTACAGTGCTACATGGGCCAATGGTTGGACTCAGTGTAATGGAGTTTAATTTGCTCCTATATCCATCCATCCATCTTGGCTGTCTCTTAGCGCAGGGCCAGCTCATTGGGGCCAATCCTGCCACCGCCTACAATGAACCACTATTGGCAGGATTGGCAGCGATATCAGAAGATACGTTCTCTGATTATTATATATATATATATATATATATATTAATTCTCTTGCTAATTATACTGTTAAATATGCATTTTATATTTGACTTCCTTTAGTAATGTTTAAGATAAAACAAATTTTGGTTCACTTGGCTGCGTTAAATGTGCATTCTGTAGTGGACCTCCTTAGAAATGTTTTATTTTGAAATATTTACGATAATATTTTAGTCTTGTGTTAATTATGTTGCTTTGAATGTATACTTTACCCCCCACCCAAAAAAACGAGCCTTTTCCCCATACTAGCCCAGTTGTAAATGACATTGTGTAAACAGTTTTTTGTTTTGTTTTTAATGTAAATTCTTTGTGTTTCCCCTGGTTCTACTGTTCACTAATTTCCAGTGAAATATTTCAGTGTTTTACATGGATAAAGAGATTGGGCTGTTGTCAAGAGCTGGAAGAGGTTAAACAGCAAGGCCATCTAGCCAGACTCCTCAGTTGTAAGACATGGCCATCCAACATCAAATCACCCTGTCATCCAGATCACTGTGTGTCATATTCGACATTTAGGGATATCACATCAAGCACCAAACATCTCAAGAACATCAAGGCACTGGCTGTGAATTTGGACCTCCATTGTTGCCATGGCTATGAGAATTCTAGGATGCCGGGAGTAACGCAGAAACGATGTCACAACCGAGCGGAATGCTTGGAACTCGCACACAGAGGCTTACTGTGAAGGGGTCAAAGATCAGGGAATACACAGACATGGGGTGGTGATGCGGTGGCCTCTTCCAAGAGCCTCGCCGGTGCAGCCTCCGTAATGGAGAGGCATGCGGCTGTGGTTGCTTGGTAACCGCATGGAGCCACCACCAGTGTTGGCCGCCATTTCCCAAATCATCCTTTGCTGGGGTCAGATGAGCAAGAGGGGAGCGGGGCCTGGAATCCGCTCTGTAGTATGGGCCGCGTTGCCTCCTCTAATGCCCATCTCTTCTTCTTCCTCGCGATACTGCTGGTGTCCTTGACGAGGGTGGACTTAGCCATAGAGCCTTGCCCAACCCCATGCCGTTGCACCTTGGAGATCCTCAACTGTAGCCGGATCAGCAGCCCTCCGGGACTCCACCGTGTGCCTCTCCCCAAGCCCTTTGGCCATGCTCACGTTTTTTTCTTCTTGTAAGTATTCGAGAACCCGAGAGATGATCACCCCACTCCCAGAACTCTTGGAGGCCAAAATGCTTTTTTATTTAAAGGTCCCGGGCCCTAAAGAAGCCAGACTGTCCTCTACCAGAGCCAGGGCTTTTTCAGTGATTGCTCCGACCTGGTGGAATACTCTGTCCCACGAGATCAGGGCCCCACAGGACTTGATCTCCTTCCGCAGGGCCTGTAAGACAGAGCTATTCCGCCTGGCCTTCAATTTGTATTAGCCTGATCCTCAATTCCGTTTTCCCTTTCCTTTTCTATGAAGAAACCTTTCTGGGACCCCACATTTAAACTCTTCCCTGGTCTCCTTGCTGGCCCTAGTAGGACCAACTTGGCCACTTAGCCCTGGTGATCATGTGATGTTTACTGATTGGGGTTCCCCCCCCAAAAAAAATGACCCCTGAATTTTTGAATTTTATTGACATAGATGCTGCATTTATGTTGTATTTTATGCTGTTTTAAAGTCGCATTTTAATCAATGTTTTATATTTGCTGTTAGCCGCCCTGAGCCCGGTTTTGAAACTGGGAAGGGCGGGGTATAAATAGATTTTTATTATTATTATTTAAGACTTAGGGGTGAGCGAGATGGGGGCAGGGGACTTCTGACTCCCAGGCAACTTGAGGGACGACTAGGTAGAGAGCTGGTTGTGTATCTGCCAAGACCTGTAGTATAGGTGTGACCTTTGGGAATCTCCATCCAGGTAAACAAAGGCAAACGACCAAAGGGGGCGGGCTGTCTGGATTGGTTCACTGCAGGGCAGCTCAGAGACGTGCAGTAACGTTGATTCTTTATTCAAGGAAACGGAATACAAACGAGAAACCTATAGGCATGGCTGGCCCCATTAAAGCAGTTGCCAGAGCTGGTAATCTGTGCCTCCCACATCCCCTTACATCGCCTCCTCAGCTGTTTTCCCTGCAGTCTTTAACTCTTACTGGAGAGGGACTCCCTGTGCTCTTTGTTCAGCTACATGCAAGGCCCTCCATGCCCTCGGAGACAAGGGAGGAGGGGAGCTGAATACAGAGGGACCAGCAGGCTCCTGTGTAGCTGCTGCAGCCTCTGTCTCCTCAGCTGCCTGTCCTGCGTCTGCAGTGCCTTCTGCCTCTGGTTCCTCTCTCTCACTCAAGCCTGTTGCTTGTTCAGCATCCAACCATTTTGCCTTGCCGCCTTTCATCCTCTGACTTGTCTTCCAATGTCCCACCCCCACTCCCCTGGCTCTGATCCTTCCTCCTCTGAGTCCTTCCCTAGGGGGCTCAAGGAAAAGAAAGTACATCAGTAAAAATGGGGTTTATCACATCACACCTTCCTCCTCCAGGGGTCATTCATCCTAAGCAGGTGTCCAGGCCTAGGGCATCCCTGTTTGGACTCCGCCTGCCATGACAAGCAGTGTACAAGACTGGGTTTCTCATGTTGGTTTTGGTAGGGCTGGCTTTCTACACAAAATGAGCGCATGCTCCAGAAACATCTAAGTATCTCCACCCTGCTTAAGGTGGTAGAAAACTACAGCCTGTCCTCTCTATAATTTGGGGAGTTCAGCACCACTGTTAATTGGCATGAAGAAGCACACCCAATACTTGCTTAAAATGGTTACTGTATTGTTTTTTCCTGGAAGGGCTCCTCTGCTTTTGAACTGGGGGGAAATGTGACAGTGTAGCTCTCTGCCTCTCCTTCAGCAGCTAACGGTACAGAAGTGCAGGGAAAAATGTGTCATGCCTCTCTCAGTTATTTGCAGTAGATTGGCCGGGATTATTCTCGGTTGTTTTAGTAATTGCGACCGCAAAATGACACCCGCCCATAGTTAGCCTGCTATTTCAAAAAAGGGGAAATACGGACACAAAAGTTGTTGAGCGTTTTTCTCTGGCAAAGTTGAGTTGTTGAGCTATTTATGAAGTTCACCACGATATGGGCTGCCATACTTCTGGATTTTCCTGGACACTTTGGCAATTTCTACCTGGACACTGTTTATGAGGGCTGAATACGGGCCATGTCCGGGAAATTCTGGACATATGGCAACCCTAGGTAGCCAGCCATGGATTTGGGTGTGGAAGGACTGTGAGCTTCAGGTCTAAAAACATCCCCAACTAAATCAGTTGCTGAAAGGCACCATGTGCTTTTGAGTCTAGCTGAATGTCCTTTGCACCTAGCTCTGAAGTTTGCCTTACCCTGCTATTCATGGAGGAGAGAGGTCACCCTAGGGAAAATATTCAGCAGGGCTGGGGAACCTTAAGGTCCAGTGGGCAAACTGGGGCTCCTCCTGGGTCGCACCTCTTCCTGGGCCTGCTCTGTACCCCTTCTCCCCCTTGAGTACTTCCGCCTGGCTGGAGTGTGTACAGGAGCCACCATAATGCCTGGACGAAATTGGAGGGTTGTGTAGAAATCTCTGACTTGTGTTGGCTGGAATGTAGCCTATCGTGAGAATTCATTCCTCTACTCAATTTGCCTCGGATCCAGCTCTGGCCCCCAGAAGGTCCCACTCAGGGGAATGTGGCCCTGGGTTTGAAAAATGAACCTCTGCTATGCACATTTTAACAGAAGAGTCTGGATCTATTTGCACCAGCTCTTCCTAAGACCTTCTTTCCTAGAAGCCATCAACATAGAGGAGAAATTCTTCTGGGCATGGTGGAGTTCATCTCCTCTCGGTCATTGCCCCCCAAAATGTGAGATTTCCAGGTTCAGGAAACAGTGGAGGCTTGGAACACTGTATGTCTGGAAATTTGACTTTCAGTTTGCCAGATAAACATGACACACAAGAGTCCATTTTTCCACACCAGGGGTATCTGTTTAATTTTTGTTCCCCCATGTTTATTATTTCCTCCAGAGACTTCACTGATAATGCGATTTCTTCCATTGGGAAACAGGTGTGGAGGGCCTATCCTTGGGCTGAGTACTTGTGAGTATTATTTAGAGTCGTCAGTGAGTACCTATCCTGGCCTTGGCTTTGGCCAGTTTCAGTCATGGTGATTTTTGGTTTTAAGTTATTGGCAATTGACCGACGACTAAGGCCACATTCAAACCATACATTTAAAGAAGGCACTATGATCCCACTTTAAACAGTCATGGCTTCCCCAAACAATTCTGGGAGCTGTCGTTTGCTAGAGGTGCTGATCAGGGCCAGTCTAAGACATTTTGGCACCTGAGGCGAACCATAAAATGGCACTCTGCTCCCAGCCAGGGAAGAAGGGGTGAAAGAAAATCTACATCAGGAACGGGAGTGGGGGAATAAAGATCTCCTTTGGGGTCTGCTGCCCCTGTGGATCCTGCTGCCTGAGGCAATCGCCTCACCTCGCCTCATGGGTGGGCCGGCCCTGGTGATGAGAATTGTTGGGAGATTCCTATTCCCCTCACCAAGCTGTTCTCCCTGTGGAGAGGAATTGATATACTATACCCTGGGAATTACAGTTCTGTGAGGGGAATATG